GCACCACAAAAACAAATAAGAGCCATCCAGGCTTGGTAGTGGACTTCTATAGTCCCAGCAACTGATAAGCTGTGCGTTATTTATTTTTTACTACAATTGAAAATATAAAAGAAACGGGGGAGCTATGGAAGTAAAACAGTATTTCTATTTGCTTAGACTTGGGTAGTTTTCATTTTTTTCTCCTCAAATTACAAAGTCTTAAGCATAGAAATAATGGGCAGCATGTCCCTGTCTTTTTCATTTGCAAATATACTAAAATGGGAGACCCCCTGTGAGAAAAGCTCAGATTTGCTTCAAGGTGTCACATGATCAGCAGTCCATGGGCAGGGAGTGTGGACACACTCTTATTGGTGGTGAGTGGGGGAGGCATCTGCACCATGGAGTATGAACATCAGCAGGAAATAATTTTTTGTAACAGAAAACTTTTGAGGATGACAAAGTTTTAGGAACTTATATCTGAATAGTTCAAAATCATAGTACAAATTATCTTTTTCCTTTAGAACCATCTCGGGGGCTTGCCTTAGTCATTAGGAGCCATGCCTGGGATGGACCACACTTGAGAGAGACTTATAGTTGAAAGTATGGGTTCAGGATGTGGGTGACCCAAGGATCAAATTCTGGCTGGGATACTTATGGAGTCTTGGGCAAGTTATTTGGTGTTCTGAATTTATAAGTTAAAGGAAGATGATAATGATAGGTCTGTGTAAATAAGAATCCAAAGAATTGCCAAAGAAAGGCATGGCCAGACACCCACCTGAAGAAAGCCCTGGTCAGTGTTAATTGTGTGGCTGTCATGGTCACTGCAGAGATGAGGTGTTGATGAGTAAGTGGAGAGCTGTGGGCAAGTTGGAGTAGAGGGAGTGGTGGGTGGTGGAGGGGGAGGTGGTGGGAATCAAAGAACACCGGAGAGTGCTGAGGAACTGGTGGGTATCAACAGAGCCGCCCAAGGACTAATGCCTGGCCTTGAAGAGCTGGGCACAGTTGGGCCCATCACTTTCTCTCTCTGAACTTCCTGTTTGTCACTTGTGAAATGAAAGAGTCCATGAGATCCCTTGTCTTCAGTCCTCACTGACTCTTAGAATCATTTAGGAGAACTTATAAAATCTCAGGGTCCTTTCTCGTCCACTGTCTCATTCTGACTTGGTTGGTTGGTCTGACCCAGGAACTTTGTTTTTTCCAAACTCTCCAGCTGATCCTCAAGTGTGGCCAGAGCTGAGGACTTCAGGCACAGACTGAGCCCTTGGGAACAGTGACTGGGCTCACAGTTGCCAGCTCACAGTCTCCTTCTCCCAGGCCGAAGGCATCCTTGGAACTCTCTTGACCAAGTCTTCCAAGTTAGGAACAGAAAGAAAAAAATATATATGTACATATGGAACATAAAGAAATGACTCCTGACCCTTCCACCCTGCTTCTTTGGTCAGAAAGATCAGCTGCCATCTCCGTCCCCTGCAGTCCTGGTTCCTTTCAATTTCAGTGCATATTTAAGTCTGACTTGTACATCTGAGGTGAAAAATAGTCTCATAAGACCTGTCTCCAAGCTCCTCATCACCTTCCACGTTTGCTCTTATTTGTGGGACACACAGGAGGCGCTGGTCCATTGGAAGGAGAGAGGAAAGAGAGTCAGTTAATGCTTTTCCAGGGTCACCTTCAACTCCAATGCTCCATAGCTTGGCACCTTCTAAACAAGGAACTGTTAAATTTTTAACCTGGGATTTTTTTGAATCCTTGTGATGTAGTTTCCTGAACTGATCTCTTTACACCTAAAAAGCACAAAAGCAATTTTGGAGCTGTGTGTGTTTGGGGTGATTAAATAACCTTACACACCTGGAAACCTCTGGTACGTGGCAGGTACTCTGTGTGGTCATTTCTCTTTCCTGCCAGATGTTTTGCAGTGGAAAATTCTTATGCCTTAATCTTTGTCTTCCCTAAGTCTTGCACATGGTGCTGAGGAAAGACATAGGAGAGTTTTATGAGAGAGCTGGAATCCAAAACAGGAAGTTCTTGAGATGGCCACTGCATTAATTAATGGAATGAAAGCGTAATCCCTTAAGCAAAGTAGCCGCCAAAACACCATTTCTCTAAACTGCCCAGGATGGTGCCCCATAAATTTTGAATGACATTGAAGTGCAAAGTGTTATTACTTTTTTTCACCTTAGATATATAAAACATATGGAGAAAGACAGGTCGACAATAGTTTCCTGATATCACTTTCATGAAGCTGAGATGACCTGCCCAGACATTGAAAAGAAAGTTCTGTTGAATTTTGTATTTCATACAAAATACAGTGGTTCTCAAGCTAACAAGGCATCYGAATTGCCTGGGGATTTTTTTAGAGTCCTACCCCTACATTGACTGAAATGACCCTATTTCTTTTATTTTTGATTTACACATGGTAATTATACATATTTATGGGGTGCAGTGTGACATTGCAATGCAAGTATACAAAGTGTAATGACCAGATCAAAGTAACTAGCATGTCTGTCACCTCAGAAACTTATTATTTCTTTGTGTTGGGAATCTTCAAAGTCCTCTCTGTAATGATTTAAAATACACAAATTAACTGTTATTAACTGTGGAGTACTACTGTGTTGTAGAACAGGAGAAGTTTCCTCAGATCTGATTACATGCACCCTGCAACCACCCTATTTCTAAATAAGGTCACATTCCAGGGTACTGGGGGTTAAGACCCCAACTTGCGAGTGGGGGCTGGGCACGGTGGATCCCTCACACCATCCTTATGAGTATGAGGTATGAGGTGTCATCTTGTGGGTTTCATTTCCAGTTGCCTAGTGACTAATGAGGTCAAGCACTTTACATGTGTTTCTTGGTGAATTTCATATCTCTTGTGGGAAGATGTGTATTAAAATTCATTGCCAGTTTGTTAATTGGGTTAGCTTTTTATCATTGATGTGTAAGAGTTTTCTATTATTTTGGATGCTAGTCCGAAATCAAGAATGATAAATGTGAAAACATTTTCTCCATTCTGTGAGCTCTGTGTTCACTAGGGTGGTGTCCTTGGATATACATCAGTTTTCAGTTTTCATGAAGTATGACAACAATAGTTTTCTCTTGTCACTGTGCTCTGGGTGTCATAGCTAAGCAAACATTGCTTAATCTAAGGTTGTRAAGATTTTTATTCTGTGTCTTTTAAAAATAATTTTAGTTATATACTTGTGAAGTTCGTGGGCATTACTTCTTCAAGAACAGTTTCTCCTGCCTCTTTGTCTCCTCTTCTTCTGCAGTTCCCATTATGCTTGTGTCTCTGATCTCAAGTTCACTGATGTCTTCTCCCGGCTCAAATATGATGTTGGCCCCTCCAATGAAATGTGCAGTTCAGCGCTAGTTGCTTTCAACCCCAGACTTTTTCTTTATTAAAAAAAAATCACAATAATTCCTATAGAGTTTTAGTTATTCCTTATTTGGGGAGACTTTCTTGTCATTCCTATGGATATTTGATTCTCCAGTTTTTCTTTCTAAGTTTTTTATCTTAATAGCCCCAGTGAGTGACGCTACCTTATGCACTTGCTTTTATATAATTGCAGGGATTGTTTTCGTGAACTCTCGGTAGGTACTTTTATTCACCCAGACTGAACTCAGTCATGTCAAAGAAAGCCAAGTCCTGACATGGGCTTTTCAGCAAGATTTAGACAGATCCAATAGTGACAGTTCTCTGGGGGTGGGGACATTTGGGGAGATCAGTGTTGCTCCACACCCCAGTGGCTGGAAGCTGTTTTTTCATAGGTAGAAGAGCTGTTGGATTTCAAGGCTACACGGAACTGGGGAGAGTGAGATGTCAGTAAGCCAAGTTAACAAGCTGCAAGGCTCACTATTCCAACCAAGATTTCACCTAAAGAAAAGAAAGAAAGAAAGAAAGAAAGAAAGAAAGAAAGAAAGAAAGAAAGAAAGAAAGAAAGAAAGAAAGAAAGAAAGAAAAAGAAAAATAAAAAACACACTTCTTGGATTATTGCGAACTTTAATTTCCAGAGTTCTGAAAAATTGGTTGGTGATAATTCTTGCTAGTGTTCCTATTGCTTTTATAGAGGAGCAGAATTTTGAAGTTCCTTACTTCTCCACTTCAGAAAGTGAGATCTTCTTTAAATCATACATATATTTTGAATCACAGGAATCATATTTAATCTTCCACTCAATCCGCAAGCATTATGTTGAACCTAGTGTTAGAGGCGCTCACGTTCTGGGCAGATTGGCCTGTTTGTAGCCAGCTTTCCTTTGAAGCAGGATGAGTTAGAAGTAAACCCTGGGGGAGCAGATTTACTTGTCCACAGGGGAGCAGAGGGTTCCCTAAGGAAAGGGGCCTTTAAGATGAGCTATGATTTACGAAGTCCTTAAACCAAGGGTGAATGACGGCTTCATACTCAGTTATTCCTCATTGCAGGAGAAGCACACGTGGGTCAGGAGGCTGCCCAAATTATGGGAACAGCAGAGTCACATCCTCAGGGCTTGCTCACAGCAGGGCATAGGCATGAAGTGTGGCTAAGCTTCAGCAGGCAGATATGGCAAAGGATAGGATTGCAGACAGTGGGCATTGTGCCTGCGAAGAAATGGGGAAGCTCAGGGAGAGTTCAATGAGGAACTGGGACTTTWCTGAAGGCAATAGGCATCCTGGAACATTTTTATACAGTGTGAAGTGGGGAAAGAGAAAACTAGGTGTCTTTGCATGATCTTTTCAACTTCCTCTAACAATTAGTCCACGGAGCACTAATGACCGACTCCAGCTCTGGCACACAGATCTGAATCTTGGCTCTACCACCTTGCAGACTGTGTGAATGAGGAAAGGTCATTTGGACCTCACTGAGACTCAGTAGGGAGGCTAGTTCTACCTCACAAAGATGTTGCACAGGTCAGGTGAGATGATGTGAACAAAGTACTTGGCACCGAGTAGTTGCTTCCTAGTTATAATTTTTTGTAATTATATTTCAAAAAATATTTTACAATGATATCTATGTTTTATTTTATTTTATTTCTCATGACTTACCTCCCAGAGATCAAGACTGCCGAAAGATACTGGATGCATTTAAAAGTGCATTTCTTTCCAAGAATCCTTGCAACATCACAAAAGAAGACTACCAACCACTACTTAAGCTGGACACTCAAACTATAGCCTGCAACAAGGTAGGTAACCTGAACAAGGGATTAATTTTTAAAACTGGGGACTGGAGCCAGCAAGAAGAGGTCACAGGACCAAAGGTGGATAAGAATGAGGGAGGGAAGAGGAAATATTCAGGCATTAGAATCTGGGTGTGGTTGGTGGGATTGGAGTTTGTGGGGCGAGTAGGGATCTGAGACATCCTCAGGGTTTAGGACATCTGGGGAAGGAAGGTAAGAGAGAAATGGGCCACAAAGGGAGGAAAGGAGAATTGGCCTCAAATCGTGCAAAACAAACCTCACACCAAACCAAACACATAAAGGCAAACGTGAATAACCCAAAATTATATAATTACAAAATTTCCCTTGGCCTTTGATAAATAACAGATAAATAAATAGTAGACATGCCAATTTTCATTTGAAGAGTGCTTTTCACTTTATTCTTTTTGCTTACAAAGGGCACAGCTAACCCTTACCTTCTTAGGCCTGAGCAGGTGTCTGCATCCCCATTTCACCTGTGAGAAACCCAAGGCTTGGTGAGTTTAAGTGACCAGTGATTGCCCATGTTGGTCAAGCTGGTTGGAGTGTAAATACACAAGACTTGGACCCAGAGAGGCCTGTGTTGCAATACACTCACTATTACCAGAAAAGGTCAGCCATAGGCACATCTTTTCTAAAGTCAGTGTTTAAGGCAAAAATACCCTGTGCCAGAAGATGTCTTTGTGAAGCCATTAAATCCATCCACAAATTACAGCCTGGCATCCCAGGTGAGTGACCCGGAGTCACTAGGCTCTTCTCCTTGGTGCACCAAGCACAATGTTCTGCACAGAGGAGGTGCTTGACAAATAACCCACATGCTCAGAAATTCTATCTGCATTACTTCCTTTAATCTCCCCAGCCTCACATGAGCTTGTTACAGTCACCATCGATACTGTTTTGCAGGAATAGAAAGGAAGGCTTAGCAGCGACGCTTTGCTTGCCCCAGGTCCAATGGCTGATCAGAGGTGATGACCATCTTTAACAAGGAGCCAGACACCAGGGCCTCTGTGGTAGCCCACTGCCCTCCACTGCTTCCTGCTAGGAATGAATAGGGTTATGGGACAGAATACTGTTCTGAAATTTGACTGCTTTCACTTTTGAGGTAGAGCCTTAAAAAAAGCACCCCCCTCCCACTGCTTGGGAGTTAGGAGAGATTTGAGGGAAAGTGGGAGGACTTGAGCTTTTTAAGAATTAAAGAGCTCTTCTTCCAGAAAACAGCACATAAACTAAACAATTTTCTTTTGGCCAATAACTTTAGAAATATTGAAATTCCCGAATGTCTGTTCCAGACGTGATCCCATCCCATGTTGATCAGTAGCTTCCAGACTTTTTTAACTACAACTCAAAAAAAATTCATTTTACATTGTGACCTAGAACACACACACACATACACTCACACAAATACACACACAGCCACACTCCCTTTCACACGGAAAGCAACAATGCACAACAATCCCTGCCCTTGCTATATGTGATTTTGTTGATAGCTTCTGTTTTCTTTCATTTGAAAAATGTGGACTTTTTTTTTTTTTTTTTTTAACCTTCTAAATTGACCTCGATATGGGTTGTGTTCATTCTTTCTTAGACTCTGTTTTGGAGCAAATTAAAAGACCTGGTCCATCAGTACACAGGGGTGCAGCAGGAGCTTGTCACCCTGGAGGACACGCTGCTGGGCTACATGGCTGACCGCCTCACATGGTGTGGAGACCCCAGCACTTCTGGTGAGGACTGGAGCCGTGAGGCATGGCCCAGGGACATACTGGGTAGAGGAGCCTTGTGCTCTGCGAGGGGCCCTGAGGGGCCAGTGTGGAGGGAAGAACCACAGGCAGCCACGGGACACTGTCTCTGCCTTTAACGACAGCTCCAGCCCATGGGAATGCATCCCAGGAAGAATCTCTGATCCCCTGAGGAGTCAGCGTCAGATTCTGGGGCTGCTTCTTTGATCTCCTCTGAGTGCTTAAGCAGCCGGCTTCTGAATTCTCGGTGTTCTGCTTTCCATAAGGGCATCCTTCAGCACCAAAGAATTCTAGAGCAGGGTGGGGCCTCAGAGGGACCCATGTACCTGTGCCGCAGAACCCCGTGGTGGCTGCAGTGGCCCCTTCCTTCTCAGGCTGGTCTGGCTTTGCTGTCATCTCTCAGCTGTGGCTTTTTCCTGCCCAGAAAGACCCAGAGTGCCTTGCCGTGGAGAGGTGTTCTCTACTCACTCAAGCCTGTTGAATCTGCTTTCATTTCTTTCTTTTTTTATTTATGTGGTGGCTATTGTTTACCTTATACTTCTTATTTTGTTGTTGTTGTTGCTTTTGACTATTTTWTAAAGCTTATCTTTCTGCAGCTTCTTCATCCCAGGTTTGCATTATTGTCATTTATAAAAATGAAACCTGCTTACTGAAAAGAACACTTTCATGTTACAGAACCGGGTAAAAGTCAAAGGCAAAGGTCACCCTGAATCCTCCCCCCACCTCCGACCTCCACATCACTTCTCAAGGGATAACTATTGTCAACAATTTGGTACATATCCTTCCAGAATTTTCCCTATGCTCCTATAAACACAGATGTTTGCACATATGTTCTGCAATTTACTTTATTGATTTTAGGTATAAGGATATCTACATTCTCTCTCTTTCTCCTTTTGAGATTTTGCTGTGTTAGGGATAGAACATGGGGCCTCACACATGGTACGCAGGCTCTCTGCCCCTGAGCTGCACTGCCAGACCCTGCACACATCCAGATGTAAAAGGCTATGTCATTAACCAATTTTATTGATGGACATTTAGCATTATTTTAGTGCTTGTTGCTATTACAATTCACTATCACAAGAAACCTTTGTATACACACGTGCGTGTACACACACACACACACACACACACACACACACCTGCAAGCTGAAAGTATTACTGAAAGGTTAATTTGTACAAGTGGAATTTTAGTGTTAAAGGGTAAATTGTGATAGAAACTGATAAAATGTCATTTAAAAGGTGACAATAATCTACACTATTATAAAGAGTCTATATGAGATTGTTTATTTACCTATACCATCATTAACACCAATTATTAATACTTTAAATTTTTTTGACTCATTTGATAGAGAAATAGCACTTCAATTTATTTTGAATTTTTTTTTTGTGATATTGAGTGTGCGCGTGCGCACACACACACACACACACACACACGGTAAATGTTTTCATTTTCTCTGTAAAAGGCCGGTTCATACATTCTAACCTTCTATTGGGGTGCTCATTGTTTTCTTATCAGTGAAAGTCCTTTGTAAGTTGATAATAAGAGCTAAGACTGAGCACTTGCAAAGTGCTCATGGTCTTCATGCTGTGTGAGTATTAACCCCTCTCTGGCCACGAGGGCCTGTGGTGATCACATTTTACAGATGGGAAGTCCAAAGCCAGAGTTGAGTGACTTGCAGCAGGCAGGTGGCAGGGCTGGAGCAAACCCAGGAAGACTGGCTTGAAAACTCCGTGCTCTTCACTGCCATGTGGTTCTGCCTCTTTTTCTGGCCCAAGGTGGAAAACTGATTTCTTAGTTTTCCTTTCCTTTTAATATTGATTTTAGTCTGTCCTTGTCCACAGACTGATTTGGTGAGATATTCATCAGGAAGGATGTTAAATTTTGTCAAATAGCCTTTTCTGCACCAATGAGATGATCATATAGATTTCCCCTCCATTCTGTTAACGTGCTGCTGCACCCTTATGAATTCATGGGTGTTGAACCATCCTTGCACCCCAGGGATCCATCCCACTTGATCCTGAGGGCTGACTCTTGTAATGTACCCTTGAGTTCAGGGTGCCAGTATTTTGTTGAGGACTTTGGTTCCTATGTTCATCAAGGATATTGGCTTGTAAATTTCTTTTCTTGTAAGACCCTGCCTGGCTTTGGAATAAGGGTACACTGGCCTTGATGAAAGACTTTAGAAGTATTCTTCCACTTTCATTTTGGTTTTTTTGAGTTTAGAAGGATGGATATTAGTTCTCTGAGTATTTGGTAGAATTCAGCAGTGAAGCATCAGATCCTGGCTTTCTTTAATAGAAGTCTTTAAACTAAGGATTCAATCTCATTACTTAATATTGGTCTGTTCAGAATTATTTTACTTTGGTTCTTTTTTAAAATTTGTTCTAATTAGTTATACATGACAGTAGAATGCACTTTGACACATCATACATAAATGGAGTATAACTTCTCATTCTTCTGGTTGTACTTGATGTAGAGTTACACCGGTCGTGCAGTCATATATGCATATAGTGTAATAATGTCCGAGTCATTCTACTATACCCCCTACCTTTCCCTATACCCCCTACCCTCCCTTCATTACCTCCTGCCTGATCCAAAGTAACTCTATCCTTCTCTTGATATTTACAAGCCAATATCCTTGATGAACAAACGAGCAAAAGCCCTCAACAAAATGCTGGCACACTGAACTCAATGATACATTGTGAATTAGCATCCACATATCAGAGAGAACTTTCTGCTTTGGTTCTTTGGGATTGGCTTATTTCACTTAGCATGATGTTCTCCAGTTTCATCCATTTACCTGCAAATGCCATCATTTCATTCTTCTTTATGGCTGAGTAGTATTCCATTGTGCATATATACCACATTTTCTTTATCCATTCATCTGTTGAAGGGCACCTAGGTTGATTCCATAGTTTAGCTATTGTGAGTTGAACTGCTATAAACATGATGTGGGTGTGTCACCATAGTATGCTGACTTTAAATTCTTTGGGTATAAACCGAGGGGTGGGATAGCTGGGTCAAATGGTGGTTCCATTCCAGGTTTTCTGAGGAATCTCCATACTGCTTTCCTTAGTGATTGCACCAATTTGCAGTCCCACCAGCAATGTATAAGTGTGCCTTTTCCCCACATCCTCATCAACATTTATTGTTGCTTGTTTTCTTGATAATTGCATTTCTGACCGGAGTAGTTTTGATTTTCATTTCTCTAATTGCTAGAGATGATGAACATTTTTTCATATATTTGTTGATTGATTGTATTTCTTCTGTGAAGTATCTGTTCAGTTTCTTAGCCCATTTATTGATCGGGGTACTTGTTTTCTTGGTGTTAAGTTTTTTGAGTTCTTTATATATCCTGGAGATTTGTGCCCTATCTGAAGTGCATGTGGTAAAGATTTTCACCCATTTTGTAGGCTCTTTCTTCACGTTCCTAATTGTTTCCTTTGCTGAAAAGCAGCCTTTTAGTTTGAATCCATCCTATTTATTGGTCCTTGATCTTACTTTTTGCGCTTTAGGGATCTTATTAAGGAAGTCAGATCTTAGGCTGACATGGGGAAGATTTGGGCCTACTGTTTCTTCTATTAGTCGCAGGGTCTCTGTTCCAGTTCCTAAGTCTTTGATCCACTTTGAATTGAGTTTTGTACATGGTGAGAGATAGGGGTTTAATTTCATTTTGTTACATATGGATCCCAGTTTTGCCAGCACAATTTGTTGAATAGGCTGTCTTTTCTCCAAAGAATGTTTTTGGTGCCTTTATCTAGTATGAGATAAAAAAGCCCTGGACTAGATGGATTCTCAGCCAAGTTCTACAAGACTTTCAAAGCAGAATTAACACCAATACTCCTCAAATTATTCCATGAAATAGAAAAGGAGGGAACCCTTCCAAACTCATTCTAGAAGGCTAATATTACCCTGATACCAAAATCAGACAAAGACACATCAAGAAAAGAAAACTGCAGACCAATATTCCTGATGAACATAGATGCAAAATTTCTCAATAAAATTCTGGCAAATTGCATACAAAAACTTATTAAAAAGATAGTGTACTATGATCAAGTGGGGTTCATCCCAAGGATGCAAGTTTGGCTCAACATACAGAAATCAATAAACGTAATTCATCATATTAACAGATTTAAAAACAAGAACCATTATGATCATCTCAATAGATGCAGGAAAAGCATTTGACAAAACATAGCATCCCTTCATGTTCTAAACACTAGAAAAACTAGGGATAGTAGGAACATAACTTAACATTGTAAAAGCTATTTATTCTAAACCCAAGGCCAACATCATTCTAAATGGAGAAAAATTGAAGACATTCCCTCTAAAAACTGGAACAAGACAAGGATGCCCTCTTTCACCACTTCTATTCAACACTGTCCTTGAAACTCTAGCCAGAGCAATTAGTCAGGAGAAAGAAATTAAAGGAATACAAATAGGAAGAGAATAACTCAAACTATCACTATTTGCTGATGACATGATTCTGTATCTAGAAGATCCAAAAAATTCCACCAGAGAACTTTTATAACTAATAAATGAATTCAGCAAAGTAGCAGGMTATAAAATCAACACCCATAAATCAAATGCATTCCTATACATCAGTGATGAATCCACTGAAACAGAAATTAGGAAAACTACCCCCTTCAAAATGACCTAAATAAAATAAAATAAAATACATAAAATAAAATGCTTGGGAATCAATCTAAAAAAAAGAAGTGAAAGACCTCTACAATGAAAACTACAGAACACTAAAGAAAGAAATTGAAGAAGATCTTAGACGATGTAAAGACCTCCCAAGCTCCTGGATAGGCAGAATTAATATTGTCAAAATGGCCATATTACCAAAAGCAATATACAAATTTAATGCAATTCCTATTAAAATCCCAATGACATTTTCATAGAACTAGAAAAAGCATTTGGAAATATAGGAGACCCAGAATAGCCAGAGCCATCCTTAGTAAGAAGAGTGAAGCCAGAGGCATCACAATACCAGACCTTACTATACTACAGAGCCATAATAATAAAAATGGCATGGTATTGGCACCAAAACAGACACATAGACTAATGGTACAGAATAAAAGTCACAGAGACAAACCCACATACACACAGTTATCTCATACTAGACAAAGGTGCCACAATTGTTCAGAATTTTTATTAATTCATGATTCAGTTGTTGTAGTTTGTATTTGTCTAGGAATTGATTTCTTCTAGGTCATGCACTTTGTTAGTGTGTAATTGTCACTAGAAGTCAGTTATGAGCATTTATATTTGTGGTTATCAGTTGTAATGTCTCCTCTTTCACTTCTGATGTTGTTTATTTGAGTCTTTTCCTTTTTTCTTAGTCTAGATAAATGTTTGTTGATTTCATTTAACTTTTTTAAAAACCAACTCTCAGTCTTTTTTTTTTTTGTAAAGAGAGAGTGAGAGAGGAGAGAGTGAGAGAGGAGGGAATTTTTAATATTTATTTTTTAGTTCTCGGCGGACACAACATCTTTGTTGGTATGTGGTGCTGAGAATMGAACCCAGGCCGCACGCACGCCAGGCGAGCGCGCTACCGCTTGAGCCACATCCCCAACCCATCCAACTCTCAGTCTTATTGATTTTCTCTATTTTGTTTATTTCTCTTCTGCTCTTTATTTTATTTCCTTTCTTCTACTAACTTTGAGCTTAATTTGTTAATTCTTTTTCTAGTTCCTTGAGACATAACACTAAATTATTTATTTGAAATGTTTCTCCCTTTTTTTTTTTTTGCTGTTGTTTTGTTTTTGTGGAGCTGGGGATTGAACCCAAGGCTTTGTGCATGGGAGGCAAGCACTCTACCCACTGAGCTATATCCCCAGCCCTTTCTCCTTTTTGATCTAGGCATTTATCGGTGTAAATTTTCCTCTTAAAACTCAGATTGATGTGTCTCTTAGGTTTGGGCATGTTATATTACTGTTTGCATTCATCTTGAGATATTTTTATTTTCCCTTTTAATTTTTCCATTGTCTGATGGGTTGTTCAGGACCATGTTGTTTGATTTCTACATATTTGTGAATACATATGTATTTTCTCCTGCTATTGATATCTAGTTCATATCACTATGTTCAGAAAGACTGTCCTCCAGGTCATACAAGTCTAGTGTCAGTGCTTCTCCAAAATGCACAGAGGTGGCAGCCTCCCCGTCTGGGTGAGGTTATTGAGAGGCTTCTTGACTGAGTGGAACCACGGCTTGACTTCTAGGCCAAGCAGCTCCACTCTGCTTCTCTAAAACGGGAAAGCATTTCCCTGCCTGCCTGGCATTGTTGGTGTGTGCTGTGAAGCTGGGTATGGGGATGCTAGCTTTAGTCCCTAGACGGCCAGTATCCCCTACCCAGCCTCAGAGCACACACCAACAACACCAGCCAGGCAGGACAATGCTTCAGGCTAGGTTAGACTTCCCAGTGTGGTTCAGAAGGTGAGCAGCTCAGCTTTGCAGGTGGGCTGTGAAGTTGGCTGGGAAACAGTTGGTAGAAACACCGAGGTGCCACCGAGACTCATGTGTCAGCCTATGACTCTGTCTCCTTTCTTTGTTTCCACTTGACCCCAAATGATCCACCCCTGCCTTTACCCTCAGTGTTACCCATGAGGGAAGCCGATGACGGCTTCTAGTTCTTTTGTTACCCTGCAGAAACCATTAGCCCAGGACAAAGCTCTCCATCTGCTGTGCTGACCTGGGAGGTGGGAGGGGTGGCATAGTTGAAGTGAGACCACTCTTCTCAGAACCCTTCCAATGCAGTTTTCCTTCAGCTCTGAGGATGATGTGGGCATTTCAGGCTTGTTTCCAAGTACTGGAGCCTTTGAGAAGATGTTGGGGTCTTTAGATTGATTGAACTTTCTGGATGGGGGAGTGGAGCCCGAGACTTCTTATCCTGCTTCCTTGCTGCTGTCTCTTGGCCATCAGTAGTTCTGGAGTCAGAGTAGTTCAAGATCCAGGTACCGGCAGACTCAGCATCCAGCGAGAGCTCTCCCTCTATCCAAGATGGCGCCTTGTTGGTGCATTTCCACATGGTAGAAAGAAGAAGGGAAATTTAAAAATTTTTCCATATTCTGACTTAAGTTTTTTCTCTAAATTTTTAACCTAATATAGTTTTACTTCATTTTTTTGATTTACAATAGTGTTCTTACTTTATTAGCTTCTAATCTTTTTTTCTTTTACTTAAAGATATACTTCTCCAAGCTCTGCTACTGTCACCACATGGCCATCTTCTCTCTGTGTATCTCTCTCTTCTCTCTGTCCAAATTTCCCCTTCTTATAATGATATCAGTTATAACTGGATTATTTCCCAGTAGCACAAATGACATCATCTTAATTGCACTGTAAAGATCCTGTTTCCAAATAAGATCACATTCACAGGTACCAGGGGTTAGGACTCAACATATCTTTGGGGAGGACATAATTCAACCATAAAAAGGTAGAAGTAACACATCTATAGGGAAACAAAAGTCTACCCATCAGAAGGTGGAAGAAGAATTGTGTTTCTTCAAGTTCAGATTGGAACAGGCAAAAACCACAATTCCTGACTTCTGGGACACAAGAAAGGAATCTAGATCCTGTCTTCATACAACTTCCCTACCTAATTGACTTAGTTCAATTTGTATTGTTAGAGCAAAGTACCTGAGGATGGGTGCTTTATAAAGAAAAAAAGAACTTTAGGTCAGCCTCCATCTGGTAACCACAGGGTTCTTCCTAAAATAAAAATGTGATTGTATCTGTCTCCTACTGGAAGCCTAAAATGTTCTCTTTTTCCTCTCAGGTAATGTCTGAATTCCTTGACATGACCTGACTGACCTCTGTTTTTTAATGTCTCGTCCTCCCTCATTCCCTTTCTCATCTTTGTTATTTTATTGCTATGACCAAAATGCCTGATGTAAATAACTTAGAAGGGGAAGACTTATGTTGGTTCACAATTTCAGAGATTTCCGTCTGTGGTCAGCTGGCTCCATTGCTTTGGGRCTGAGGTGTAGCAGAACAGCRATGGCAGAAGGGCACAGAGGAGGAAAGTGGCTCTGCCCATGGCAGCCAGGAGTGGGGAGGAGGATAGAGAGAAGAAGGGCATCAGGACGGAAAATAGCCTTCCATGGCCCTCCCTAGTGACCTGCMTCCTCCAACCATGCCCACCACCTACCGCTTCCACCCCCTCCCGGGAGTTTGTTCAGACATCAGTGGATTAATCCACTGATGAGGTCAGAGCCCTTGTGACCAATCACACCCCAAAGGCTCCACCTCTGAACATTGCTGCACTGGGGACCAGGTCTTCAGCACAGAGGCTTTGGGGGAACATTCCAGATCTAAGCCATAACAGGTCCCTTTACTGCTGTGAACCCACTGGGCTGTCCTGCCTTAGAGCTCCGTTCCTCTGCACACGTTCTCTCTGCGTGGAGCCTGTCTGAAGATGCCTATTCTTCCTTCAAAACCAAGTTCAACGTCAACCTTCCTGGGGGTGATGCGCAGTCCCTGAAAGAGGCATGGTTGTTGGATGTCACTCCATCCTGTGCTCTCTGAAGGCAGGACTCCTAACTAATTCACCTCTCTGTCCCCAGAACCTCATCCCCGTTAGAGGCATTAAGGCAGACATCCTTGAGAGAAGCATCCCATGCCCTGTGTCTCCTGCCTCACTGAGGCCTCGGCCTCTCTTGATGGGGTGCATACAGACAGCCTCTGAGGCCATCTGAGCCTCCAAAAGGGCAAGGACTTATGGAGGCAGGGAAGGAAGCTCTAACAAAAGAGAGTTGTCAGGAAGCAGAGAAGTGATTGCTGGGAGCGACCCCCGAAGGCCTGGTGTCCCCTCTCATTCTTCCTGGACTTGGGGATAGCAGTGGGGGCTTTTCTCTGCTGGGTGAACGTTCACGGCCATTTCCCAGAATGATGACTCAAAACCCGTCACTGTGTTCCTGCCTGGAATTTGGAGAGTAAGGTAAGAACTTGGAAGGGATTCAGGGGACACTTAGTTAATGAGGTCGAGTTGTGTCCATTCTCCAAGCCTCTATTTGGCAGGGATGCTGCTGGAAAACTGCTCCGCAGTGACTGACCAGAGAAGGAAGGAACTGATTGACATGCTTCCTTCCCCACTTTAATGATTCTCTATAAACTATGATTTTAGACTTGAACTATCAATCTTGCCCTCACTGGAGGAATGACTGCAGTAACAACCCTGGTTCAGTGTTCTGGAAAGCGATTTCCCAGAAGGTGAGTACCCAGTCATGAAATTCTAGAATTCTGAGACCAGAGAACTTGAAGATGTCATCCAGTCAGTGAATGGTTTCAACACCTTTTTGGGTCATAGATCCTTTTTAGGACTGAAAGTGTAGGATTCTTTCCGGAGGAAAAGGTTCAGAAGCACATGCCAGCAGATTTTCACACACAGTTTTAGAACATTYGTGGAGGGTCTCTGGGGGCTCCAGCTGAATAATTCCTGATCTYATCCAGTTTTTAGCTGTGGGTGCCAGGAAGCAAGGGCTTGGTTTAATCCTSTGACATAATGATTAGATTCCTAGGWCAGTTTTCATMATSTACACTTATAGACCACRTGCATTGTGCTTGACTCTTGACATGAATTAAAATGTTCCTTCTCTATGGAGGAATAAAAAAAAGAACCCTGTGGAGTAAGTACYATGAGTATCGAGCYCATTTTACAGATGATGAAACAGAAATGCAAGTTCATAAGTAATCTACYAAATGTACAGTTAGCAAATGATAGATTGAGCATTTGTCCTAAGTCTTCTGACTTTAGATCCAGAACCTGGCTTAAGAAACACTCACCACCACCCTCACTCCCTMTTTCTGACTTCACTTGAAGCTGACTGGGTTTTTTTTTTTTTTTTTTCTATAAGTTGCTTCTTTGCAAGTTGGACAAGGAAAAACTTCTTTGCAAGTAGAAGAAGGGGAAAAAAAAGAAAGGAAAAATAAGAAATAAAAAAAAGAGAGGAATCAAAACTAAGTATAATATTTCAGAATTAAATGTAGACATTTGAGGAGCTAGGGAAAATGGAAACTTGTATGTGTTAAGTGCACATGTTGTGGTCCATTTATGCTGCTGTAACAAAATACCAAAGAGTATGTAATATATAAGGAACACACATTTATCTTGCCAAAGTTCGAGAGGATGGGAGGTTTAGGGTCAAGGTCTAGTGGAATGGATATCTGCTGAGAGCTGTTCTTGGCTTYCAAGATGGTGCCTTKTTGCTGTGTCCTCACATGGCAGAAAGCAGAAGGGCAAGAAAGCACTAGCTAGTTTCCTTGAGCCCTTTTAAGAGAACTGTCTTCTCATGTATGAGGGCACAGCTCTACGGTCTAATCACCTCTTAAAGGCCTGCCTCTTAATATTATACACTGAGTCTTAGTTTCCAATATATRGATTTGTGGGATGGGGGGATTTAGGTAGGGACAAACACGCAAAGCATAACACTATATTTGTGAAAATCCCTGATGTGTCTTTTTGATGTCATTCCCATCTAGTTCTCCCAGAAGGAAGTATGAGAAGGAAAACATTTCAACTTGGGTGCATCCTTAATTATTCTGACCTTCAGATTACTCATTTGTCAAATGGAGGTCAAAATAAGCCTGCTCCATTGGGTTGCTGCCATATTTAAATAAAATGCCACTGAACTTTTAAGTAACTTGGAATTCATCCACTTAATAAATATTTGTTAAGGACCTACTACATACCATAACAAAATAAAGGGCACTGCAGAGTTTTTGTTTGCTTAATTTTTCTGAGAATAGTTTCTTTTTATTCATTGCTATATAATGTGTTTCAGGACAGTGCTAATATTAAAAACTCCCAAAGCCATGTTATGTTTTGAGTGCTTGCTTATGTTCCCACTCAGTCCTTGGTGCCAGGAGTACAGAGGTGAAGAGGATCAGAGGCACCTGGCGAACCACATAGACACCTGTGCCTTTATCTTTGCCAAATTTTCATGGGTGTGTGTAGATGGCCCTTTGTACYTTTCTTTTCTTTCTTTCTTTCTTTTTTTTTTCTTTTTGACAATAGCAGCAGCACTTCTTGGTACTTCAAGTTTTTGTCTCATCTCCTTATTTCCAAGTAATGTGATTTTGAGGCACATTGATCCAACATTTCCCTGGTGGGGCGGTGGAGTGGGGGGTAACTTGAGAATTCTACCTTGAGAATTCCATCTTGGGTGGCCCAGGGTTGGTACCCGTGAGCATGCTTTTGAGTTGGTACTGTGATTAGTCACAACCACTGCTCATTTGTCCCTCTGCTCATGAAGGGAGGACAGAGCAGCATTGGATTTCACAGTCCAGTTTCAGATCCTTCAGTGGAGCCAAGGTCACCCGCAGAGCAGAGTCCAGATTCTTTGGCAAAGCGTTCATGGTGCCTCGCAAACTAACTTTATACCCAATGTCAGTGTCCACAACTGCTCTTAGACCCCTAGGCCTTTCCCTTCTCAGCTGCCTTCACCTGCTGATGAACCCTCCTCCTTGGCTCACCACCTCGCTGACCTGCACAACCCTGTTATTTCCTCGTCTCCTCCACAGAGCAACCAGGCGCTGGCTGCTKCTTTTCCTCCCTCTTTTCCTTCTTCAGATTTTTACTGAGTGTCCACTCTGTGTCATGCAACAGGTACACAGCACCCAGGGCTGTAGAGGACAGCTGGCTCTCCGTTCTCATGGAGCACTCAGTACTGGCAGCTAAATGCCACTGAGCTCATGATTACAATGCGTTATAGTAACACAATGTGAAGGGACATCGATGGGGTCAGGGTTCAGAGAGGGGCATCTGAGCCGGTGCCAAGGTCCACCATGTCTCCTGGGAAAGCCTAGAGGTTGCTGTGCTCATGTTGTTTTCAGCTGAGCCTTTGCTGCCTGGAGAGACACACCTCCTTGCTCAGTCACATCYGTCTGTCCAAACCCCCTTTCTCTTTGTGCCTTGTCAGGCCTCAGAGTCATCTTCTCTCTCTTGGTTCTCTTTTCCCTGATGTTCCCCTTTCCTTTCCTCCTGCATCGCCCACATTGCTCCTCCTAAGTAAAATGACACAGTCACAGTGCTGGACACTACGAAGACACCCTCATCTTTCTCCTCCAGGGACATTCTCCTTTCTCCCCTGGACTTCCAAGTTCGGCACTGCTAAATTTAGCAACCCTGTGAGCATGACACTTCATTGTTCAACAGTTTGTTCAAATGGCTGAAGACCCCGCTGTGAAGGAAGCCTCATACCCCCAGTGGTGTGGAGTGGAAATCCTCTGGACTGGGCATCCTGTGCAGGACCAGGGAGACTGTTCCCTCCCTAGCCAGCTAATAAATGCCATGCATGGTTTTAGAGGGAGTCGCTGGGGACTGAGGACTAAGTTTACATGCTGAGGAGTSGGGGGAGCATGATTATTATTGTTTTAAGTTTGCAGAAGCTGCCTGTGGTGTGGTCCAAGTGATGCTCAACGGATCCCTCACTGAACCCTTTGACAAGAACAGGTAATCACTTCTTTGTATCTTATTTGCAGTCGTTGCCATGGCCTCTTGTGGGATATTCCACCGCTAGAACGATTGTGCTTTTTAAGTTTCAGACCAGTTCTGAAGATTTGGGCTAAAAAAAGGCAAATATTTTGTATTCTCTGAACATATTTTGTCTTTCTGGCTCACTGCTTTTGACTAATTTCTCTTCTGTCTGACGTTTTCTAACGTTCCTGACGGCCACTGCATTGACAAGAGCCCCTGCCCGCGATGTTTCAAGRCCTGGTGCCATTTTCTCAGCCTCCTCTATCATTATCCTCCACCTCCCGATTTCCACCTGTGTCCGTGCTGCTCCCGGATGCATGGACACCTGCCTCCCCTCCCTGCTTCTCCCTGTCCAAATCCTCACCATCCATGGCCTGACTCCTCTCTACTCCATGAAGAGTTTGAATCCTAATTCACCACCACTGGGCACATGGACAACTGGCTTGGGCTCTTGACCTTCATGGTCTCTTTGTGACATTGCCAGCATGACACTGGTGGTTAAAAGCCAGGACTCCAGGGGTCATTCCGTATGACCTGTGTGGCCTTAGGCAGGGCACCTAACCTCTGGGAGACCCTCACATGCGTATTTGAAAAGATGATGGTGATGTGACGGTTAACAATAACATGAAAAATGCCGAGTCCTGGGCCTCACAGAGAAGCCGCTCAATGAGCATTAGCCATTGTTCTCTCATTTAATCTCCACTCAATCCGGCCACACTCCGTCCTTCCTTCTCTGACGGGTTGTTCTCTAATCTTGCCCTGGTATGGTTGTTGGAGAGACAGGAGGCTGAGTTAATTTGCCCTGGCACCATAAGTGACCTAAATTACTTTCCCTCTCTCTCTCTCTCTCTCTCTCTCTGTCTCTTTGTTTTTGTATTTAATTCTACAAAGGAATGTTTACGCTTTCGTCTTCTTCTGACTTCCTCTTCTGTGGGGTTTTGGGTGAAACTGGTAACATTCCAAGATTTTATAATCTGATCTTAGGGATCCAGCTACTCAGAACAGGAGTGGCATCTGTCAGAAATTAATAAGGAAGAATTTAGAAATGTGATTAAGCAGATTATCAGCCTCTTTCAAAGCAGGGCTTCTCAGATTTTGCTGAACATGTGAATCACCCTCCAGGTGAAAGCAGGAATAAGATTAACCAGGCAAGAGGGGGCTGAACTGCAGCTCTCACCAGCTTTCTGGTGATGTTCACAAAGTAGATCAAGAGTCACTCTTGAGTAGCAACTAATTTCAAAAATCAGCATGAAAATACAGGCTAAAAACCTTATCTTGAAAATCTTTGTTAACTGGGGGTCATGTTAATAAGAAATGGTGACTGTCTCTAAGGCAATTGCAAGGGTGGAGTCCACCCAATGTGTCCAGCTTTCTGGTTTTTGACAGGAGGTATGGATGTCCTTGAATTTGAGTTTAGGATTGACAATGTTCTTTGTCTCTTCTCTTTTAGCGTTTTTGGAAGTGTGGAAATCTTTAATTTGCGCCCAGAGAAAGTTCATACGGTGCAGGTCTGGGTGATGCAAGATATTGGAAAAGGTCCCAGGTACATCTTATTACTTTGTACCCAAGGGATATTTTACATGTCGGCCAACAGAAGAATTCACAGTCTCACGAATACATTGGGAACAGACTGGCTCAAGGAACGGGGCCGTACTCTACATTTAGCTCATCCCAATAGCTAATTTTATCTCCAACAATGGTAACTAACAGTTTCCCACCTGCTCAACTAGGGCCACTTAGAGGTGGACTTCTGCTTCTCCTCTTTATCCAGGGCTTTAGAAAAGAAGCTGAGAGACTCAGGGAGATTACAAGAAGTCTCGTTATTTCAACATTTTCTTCTTTCTTCCTCAGTGATTCATGCTCAGGGTCCTCCTTGAATGAGCTGAAATTGATTGTGAACAAGAGGAATATGACATTTGTCTGTCAGAATAACTACAGGTAATTGACTTTCTTCCTGAAGAAAGGAAAGGGCTGCTTACCTCCTGCAGACATTTCATCTTGTCCTGTTCCCTTTCGGGCTAGGAGGCTGGGGAGTCTCTCCTGGGGCTTTAAGGGGATCTCAGGTGGTGACCTGTGGCCATCTCTCCTTCTCTTCTTAGCCTCACTTGGAAGATTTTCTAGCCAGTTGCCTTCACCTGGTCACTACCCCCATCCACCTCTTTCCTCATTGTCACCCTGAAGCAGTGACTTGCTCTTGAAGCTGATCCAGCCTTGGAGGCATATTTTCTGGTTTGCAGAGCAAGCCGCCTGGCTGGTCCAGGGCTGGAAACCTGCTAGATGTCAGGGAGCAGAAGCATGTTTTTGCCAAGACCTTTCTCCTAAGTTGTAAAATCCCTGTGATTTGGCACAAATTTACCTGTGAAATTTCCTTAGTTGGGTCTGGGTGTACATGTCTGATCCTTGGTAAGCTTCCACATGGCAATCTACCAAGATCTGTCCTTTTAAAATTAAGAAATGTCAAAATCTTAAAAGAAAGTTTATGTGATCCATGTTTATTGGAGAAAAGTTTTAAATGGCACATAGGTATGTATTTTTAAAGTGACCTATAACTCTTTTCAGAACCGGGACCCCCTCATGCATTTTTAAGTAGTTGTGGCCAATCACATAGGTAGGGATACACTGATAGAGGCCTCCTTGGAGATTTTCCTGGTGTCATAGCTTAGAACAAGACTAAAGCAGGGAGAAAAAGGTTTTCAAAGAATGTAGAAGCTGAAGTGTTAGAATATTTTTACTGTGTCTTCATGTCACCAACCACATCATAAAAGCAGGAGGRCAGATTTAAGGGATTCATGCCGATGGCTCTGGTTTCCCAAATGGTGCGAATTCCCCATCAGTCAGCTGGTTCCTATCTGGAAAGAAGGAAATCCATGAGCACGTGGCAGCTGTTAAACGGAAAGAACAAAGGAGCAACCGTGAAGGAAACCCACAGGCCCCCGGCCAGGCTCAGTTACTCAAGGCATTTTGCAAGAAGAAAATGGAGTCTGAGGGTCTAGGAGAAAATGGGGKAAAGAAGACAAGTCTTATCCCCTGTACTCTTCTGTCTTCTTTCCCCTTTCTGACCCTAGTGGCCAGAAGTCCTTTTTGTGAAGACTCATCATCTCCCCTCACGTGTGCTCCAGGTGAGCTCACTCCTGCCTCTGGGGAGAAGGTATAGGCCTGACTTCCACTGGGACTCGTACAGACAGGAGCATCCGATCGTGGGACCTTCAACTGGGGGATCATATTCAAAACCACTGTTTTCTCCTTCCAAGAGTTTTAATTCCCAGAGATCTAATATATTTGGCATAGCTCTTGGAAAGACAGACCTGCAGGACTCCTCACTGTGGCTAAGAGCTGTGTGACTTGGAAGACAGCTGCTTATTTCCAGGGGAACCCAATATGTGAATCTCTGTGATTCCAGAGATTCACAGACTGTAGTTGAAATCTCTCCATCCCAAATGTACCTTCTGATTTTAGTAAACTTTTGTCTAGATTTTTCTGTATAGTTATTTAATAAACAAACAGGAGTATAGTTACATTTACATAGGTTAGATTTCTTCATGGTTCTAATATTACCCCCTTATTAAGTCCCACAGAGAAAACACTACTGACATTTGGCTGTATATCCTTCGTGAATTTCCCTTTCTTTCCATACACACATTCACAGTCCTACAGACTGAATTTCCTAACCTATGTTTCAACCAGTGAGTGAACAGAGATGACAACTTTTTTGGAATTTTATAAAGACAGTAAGTGCTCAGCCTGCTTCCTCTGGTTGGTGCCCCCTAGTGGCTTGCAGTAAACAAACAACCTTCAGGGCACACTCCTCTGAAACTTCAGAACAGATTCTGTGTCCACCCAAATGCTGCCCAACTAATGAGAGATGTGTGCATTTTATTGGAACATCAGATCTGAATATATATGTACTTATGTAGAGAGATCCTCTTAACAGAATAATTGCTGCTTCTTTTCCACTGTTGAATTTCCCCCAAATCAGAAACTATAATTAAGAACCATATTCATAGTAYCATATCATTCATATTATCATTAATTTAAAAAAAAAACAGAGATGGCTTCCAAAATCCTAAACGTCCTAAAAAGTTTCCCTTTCCACAGCAGGGTTTCTTTAAGGAAGCAGATAATCTCGTTCCCTAGGATGTGTCTATGTGGGGGAGTACCAGCTACCATATTGGTGAGGATGGAGTGACCACAGTTAGAGCCACTGTGCCCAGCTGGTCATGACAATTGGCTCTAGATGAACCTAGGAGGTCCCATCACAAGGGCAAGTCTCTGCCGGGGACTCTGGCAGCTGATCTCGAGGATCTCTGACTTCCTTGATTCCCATTTAGCAGAACCAAATTTAGCTATAATTGAATGAACCACTTTGTACTTCTGTCCATCCCAACCCAGCCAGGTGCCAGCCACTCTCCCTGCATCCTGTGGCTGTCATTTACCTGTTAGGCACTTATCGAAAGTTTGCTTTATGCAAAGGAAATGTCGTCCTCTGCCAGTGGCCTCCAGCCCTCTCCCAGGGGGTCCATGACTCCTGTGGTGCCTCTGGTCCTTTGACCTAACAGTAGCTCTGGAAGCTTCTGAGGAGAAGAAAGCAAATCATCCTTAGAAACTTTTTTTTTCCTATTTAATCAAATAAATTTTATTTAAATAAAACTAAATGGTTTGAGGTATGTGCGTAGAGAAAGCATAATAGAATCAAGGTTGTTTTTAATTTTAATTAATTTACTCTAATTAGGTACATTTGACAGCAGAATATATTTTGATTCACGGTACACAATTGCAGTGCAACTTTTCATTTCTCTGGTTGTACACAATGAAGCATCCCACCATATGTGCAGTCATACATGTACCCAGGGTAATGACGTGTCCATCTCATTCCACCATCTTTCCTGCCCCCATGCCTCCCCCTTGCACAATCACATTTCCTCCATTTTTCCCAATCTCCCCCCCCCAACATCCTTAGAAACTTTGAACTTCCCTGATCCCAGCGGCTGCTTCTGTGGTTTCTTGAGCATCAGCTACATTGAAAGTACATGAACAGGTGTTTGTTTTTGCCTCCACATGTACCATCCAACACCTCCTCTTGGTATTTATTCTATGGCTTTACAAGTGAAAGGAAACTCAACTGGGCCACACTCTCCAGTCATTCACTCTGGGACTGGGCCTTTCTCTGTGTCCCTGCGGAGAGGGGCGTGTGTGGAAGCTCAGTGGTCGGTGTGTACTTTTGTTGCTGGGAACAGGGCTTCTATCATTGTTGTGTCCAACTGCAGACCAGTCCCACTGCCTCTTAATCTCTCGTCTTGCTCTCCTCTCCTAGGCCCGCCAGGTTTGTCCAGTGCGTGAAAAACCCTGAACACCCATCTTGCAGATCTAAGATCTGAGCCACGGCTGCTTTAGATCTGTGACTCCTTGCAGTAGTCACCCTGTGCAGGACTCAGAAGTCACACTGGAGAAGAGCCAAAGCCTTGAGGAGCAWCCTCTATCACTATGGCAACGTGGGAGATGGGCACCTTTCCCCCCAAAGTCTTAAAATAACTTCTGTTGTAGGCATAGTTCTTATTGTGTGCTACTAATAATCAAGAAAAAAAAAACTATGTTATAAAATCAGAATGAAAATTTTATATTAAGTTATTTCCTTTTACTTTTATGTGATCCTTTTATATTGGTAATATCCTTTTTTCCCTATCTTGGGGTGGTGATTGTGAGGGTTGAATCCAGGGCCTTAGCACATGCTGGGCTAGTGCTCTACCACTGAGCTACACCTCAGCCCCTCCTTGCTATTGAATAGTGACTGCCGCAAACCTCTCCTATTAGATCGGGAAAATAAATGGGCCAGCCTCTCAGAGACACTACATTTACAAATGGATGCTATTGTCTCATGATCTATTTTTGTTCCCTTCCCTCTGATAGGTCAACTCTAGACCCCATGGTGCTGGGTCATAGTGAGGAAAGTGCTCAGTAGGATTTAAGTCTCAGGTGTACATGGTGCTTCATCTCTAACCCCTCCCACAGCCCCAACACCCATAAATTGGTATTATTATCTTCCTTTATTGAGATGAGAAAATGGGAGCGCAGAGAAGTTGCATGATTATTTAAAGTCAAACATTTTGTATCAAGGTAGAGGCTGGATTTGCACTCAGATCTCTCTAACTCCAAAGTATATATTMTCTTTCTGTCTAGCTGTTAAGATCAAATTGGCAATGGTTTATGTTCTTTTCCAACAAATGTGTGTTGGATTAAGTTGAATATAATAGAATCTGGAATGCAATTTCTCTGTGTGGCTTCAAAACAGATTAACTTTTTTCCCCAAAAATCTTCTCCTCCCCCTCATGCTCGGTGTCTCATACATGTAGTAGATAAAATATATTATTTCCTGATACTGGCAATTTATGTTTTCTTAGATCTGTCTTGCTTAGGATTTACCAATTTTATTACTTTCTCAAAGTACTAATCTTTAGCTTTGTTGATTTGTTTTTTCTATTTAATTGTTTTTGCTCTTTTCTTAATTTTTAGAAATATACAAATTCCTTCTAATTTCTCTATTCATTTTCTTAAAACCTTAGATCACTGATTTTCAGCTTGCTTTCTTATACATGTTTCAGTACTACAAATTTTCCTCTGAGCCCTGCTTTAGCTATAGTTCTTAAGTTTTGATATGTCTCCTTTCACTATTATTCCACTAAGAATATTTTCTAATTTCACAGTTATTTAGAAATATGCTGCTGAATTTTCAACATCTGGAGATTTTTGAATTTTTAAAAAAATATATGTAATGAATCAGAATAAATAAACTAAATTGAGACAACATGGAAAAAATTGAGAATCTGTTAAGTAATTTGCCTGATTTGTTGAAAACAGCATCAATTTGGGGGTCAGGCATTTCTGGGTTGTGATCTTAAGCAACAGACCTAACGTCCTCTCTTAACTTCAACTTTCTTGCTAAAGATTATTAATTTATCCCATTAAATTTTGGTGAATACTAAAGACTATGACAAAAATTGGCAGCCTAGCACAAAAATTGACAAGCCTAGAACAAAAATTGAAAAGCCTAGAACTTTGTATATATCCAATCACGACGCATGGTGGGCTGCTCTCTGCCTCCCCCTAGTGGACAATCCTGTTTACTTCATGGGTCCTTGCAGCTACAGCCATTGTGGCCAGCTCAGTCTTCAAGAGCCCATTCTCCACATAGGCATGTCCTCAATGGGAACTTGGTCTTGACTGGACAGGAATGTGGTGTTTGGAACCAGTTCTGACTGAGAGTCAGACTTGCTCCAAGTTTCAATGAGCCCCACCTGCAGAAGGGCTTCAGAAACAGGTCCTTTCCAACCAACCAGACATTAACGTCAACATCTGGAGATTTTTGAATTTTTTAAAAAATATATGTCATGAATCAGAATTAATAAACTCAATTGAGACAACCTGAAAAAAAAATTGAGAAACCGTTAAGTAATTCGCCTGATTTTTTGAAAACAGCATCAAGTTTGGTGTCTGATTTGTGGACTTACTAGAGTCCTTGTTCACCAGCACAACCTTGAAGCGGCTGCCTGTGTCAGAAAGATATTCTCCTTCACATCTCCTTCCAAAGATGACATGAGTACTGTAGAAACCAATTTATGAGACGTCTCCTAAGAAGAGCCACACTAGTGGTCAAGTTCAGAGCCAATGGAGACCTCAGAGGAAGCTGGCCACAAGGTCTTCACACAGAGTTGCACTGGGGAGCTTCAGAGGTGGCTCAAGGGCTGGGTATCGTTCCTCTCRCCACCTTTCGTATCTGTATTTTCATTACCCAGGTGCCCCATCCCTGCTGCTTTTCTCACTCCCTGCAATTCTGACTTTGAGTYTCTCTGCTGTTGACGAAGCAGCCATCTCCAGACCTGAGGACCTGCTCCTGCAAATAGATGCCTTCATTCCTCTTCTTATAAGTGATCACTGATTGCTTGTAAACTCCCTGTTATACTCATGAACKTGTTACCACCTGTCTTCATACTCCATTATTGTTTGAGCTAGGAAATTTTCTTACCATCCCTCCTTGTACCCACCTTCATAGTTACCCCAAGGCTGTCAGAATGACCTATGCCAGAATGTCGCTTTTCTGACTTCCTAAGGCTTGGATGGTTCCCAACCTTATAACGTTTAAGGCACACTTTCAAATACCATTCTGAATACTTGAGGCTGAATAATTACAAGAACAGGTAAGCACATGAGAATGTGTGTGTGTGCGCGCGCACGCGTGTGCACTTCTGTGTATGCCCTGTTACAAGAACAGTGTCTGTCAGTGCCCAGTAATTACATCATTCAGCATTCTTACATAACTGACTAACAAAGCTATCAAATAATTTGGCAAAACATGTTACTTCATTGGCAGCTCCTTGTGCCTCTTAGTATTGTTTGAAACCAGCTCAACCCTGGGCTACGCATTTTCTGTTGCAAAGGATAGTCCCCAGTACCGCAGTGTTGACTGATTTCCTGGGCACCCGTTCCTCTTTACAACAATCCCTAAATCTGCAGCTTGAGTGTCTCAGGAGAYTTTGGACTGCACAGGACACTGTTTTGGTTGGTTTTTAAATGGCAAGTAGTTWCACACACTGGATAATTTTTATGTAGGACAAATAAAAAATATTTAAAATAAAATGGTGAAGTACACCTAAAGGACTATGTAACTTTAAAGGTATTCTATAAAAGCAGTTTAAAACTAAATGTTTTCTACAGTTTTTAAAAGTATACCAAAGCAATGAATTTACTACTGGTCATCATTTTAATWTATAATTTTTAACAGTCCATCAAGAATGCAGTAGTAGGGGGCTGGCCTGAGAAGCAGTGTTGGCTGGCCCTCAGCCCACGCACAAAACACAGAAGGCTTTGAACTGCTTCCCGACAGAGCACCCTTGAACTTGATTCAGTAGATACACTGCCCTTCTCATTCCCTGCTCAGAATGCAAGTAGCACAAGGTGGGGAGAACCACATAATCAAGGGGCGGATGACCCACTGGGCTAGTTCATTAACACCTGTGACTCTCTAGTCTTGAATATATTGAAAACATACAAAAAGAATTATACAAATAATAGAAAAATAATACAACTTCATGCAATTCTTCTTCTAAAAACAGTTGCTTCTGGGCTTGGAGGAAGAACATATTAAACCATTAATACAGTGCCAAAGACCAGATGATCTCCCACCCACCTCTGCCCCAAGATTGAGTGAGTCAAAATGGTCTTCTTGCCTGCCTACAGGATCAGAGGGAGGTAGGAGTGGATGTTGAGAGGAGTCCAGAGTTGCACCCTGCTGGACACCTGGAAATCTTCACTCCTTTTTCCTTTGAGACACCAAAGAAGGAAGATTATTGCTTTGCTCTTCTAGTAAGAGTCTCAGGCTGAGAATCACACACTGACCCCTCTTTGTTTCCTGTTAAGAAAATTCACCTGTAGCCTTAGAGGATGTGATGTAATGATGTTGCAAAATGTGTGGTTATTAGCAAATGACATGGTAATTTAGTGTACTAGCAGGTCAAAACATTTAAAAGCTTGATACCAAATGCAGTCCTGTCAACAAAAGGAAACTCAAATTCATTGTATCAGGTACCTCAATAAGTCACACCACCTAGCGATCTCACTGCAACCACGGAATCCAACTTTTACTGAAAGCAATTTTGCTAAAGACGGTCAGGAGCTTACAGTTTCTCCAGGAGGGCAAGAAAACAGTTTGGAAATTAACCAATAACAACACCACCAGTTACTACACTGATTGGCCTATGGACCCTTGGCTGTGCCAGAACATGTCCATGGCTGTTCTTGGGAATAGAAGCCACCAACATGGATGATGGAGTGAGTGAGTCAAAATGGTGACTGTTTTCTTGCTGTGCCAGCCTCAAATCCACAGTTGCACAGATCTGTCTGGCGGTGTAAGAGCTGATATAAATAAAATATTCAGAATAGAACTTAGCCTTTCTGTCTGTAAAATGGGAGCCATACTAATACCCAACTGTAAGCATTGCTCGGAGCATTAAATGATGCATGCAAAATTCTTCAAGAGTGCTGAGCATATATGAAGAGCTCTATCAATGTTAGCTTTTAGAAAATTATTGGAGTCCATTTTTATTATGGAGGAAATTGCTTGACAAACTAACTTGATTAGAAGCTGAGACCCTGAGACCTGGGGGCCGTGGAGAAGAGGGAGGGGAATGGCCTTCTTGCCTACCCACAAGATCAACCACAATCTCTCCCTAGCTTTGAATCACCCTAGAAGGCCAGCAATTTCCTCCCTGAAAGAAATGAACCAGGTATCCTAGGACCTGTGATTAAGAGCTGTCTCCCATCCCATCCCCTCTACTTGTGACAAAATGTGGCAAGAGAACCTTCCCTGCACCCCATCTAAGAATTTAACATCTGTCGTTTTCATCCTTTGAGCAGATGGAGTTCGGTCTTCTCTCCTGGCATTGCCAGTCCAGTCCCCTGCTGTCCTGGCCAGGACCCCCTGCTCTGGCAATAAAGGGGAGCAGCTCTTCTTGATGGAAATGAGAAGCCCCCACCCTTTATCTTGAGCAGAAAGAAGAAAGGTGCCTAAGACCGCTGGTGGCAACTGGGAGACACTTGTAGGCCCTGTCCCCTGCAGCCACTCTCAGGCCACCTTCCCCCACCCCCTCCGCCCTGGTCTTCCCGCTTCTCCGTGCTGGCTCTTGCCATCCCTGCTCAGTACACGCTGTTTTCTGGCTGGGATCCTCTTGTCTGGCAGTCAGACTTAGTGGTTGAGTGAGGCTTTGGGCCAGCTCCCTGGGCACGGGTTCCACTTCACCTGCTAGGAGTTATGTGACSTTGGTCAAGGTACTTAACTTCTCTGGACTTGGCTACCAGTGCCCAGTTTTCTGTAAGGATTCATCAAAGGGCTGCTTTTAATTTCTTATTATTTTCTAGACCTTGTTCTGAATTGCAGAGACCCAATTTGAGACAGAAATGTATGAGAGCTGAAGGCCCCAGCAGGTGGAACGGGTCAGACTATGAGAATTCTAACTCGCCCATTGGCTCTAAGTTCTTCTGTGCTTCACTTTGCTGTAAAATGAGGCAATAACCATAACTTACCTTGTCGCTGTCAGGCTTAGTGAAAACTGGATTTACCTGTAAGTGTACGAACACTCATAGTCAGGGTGGGCTAAATCTGAAATGTACTTATTTCTCTCTGTCATGGAGAAGTCCTGACGTCAGTGGTCTATGCAGCTCTGTGCTGCAAGCTCTGCAGAGACCTAGCCACCTTCCTTATCTCTATAAGGTCATCCTTTGGTTTCCATGCCCAAAATGACTCCCCAGTCTTTATACCCATGTTCTAAGTGGCAAGAGGAAGGAAAGAATGACTCTTCCGCTAACACCCTTTGACTAAAACTCACTCACGTCACTGCACCCAGCCAGAGAAGAGGCTAGAAAATGAAGGTTTTATTCTGGCCAGCTATGAACCGACTA